TGCATATAGTGAAAGGCGACCTGACCGCGTGCCCGGAGTGCGATTTCCCAGCTATATATTCCGAATTTGTTGAGTAAGTCTTTGTTACCAAAAAAAGTTAAATCAACCTAAGTTTATAGAAAAGTAATGTTTTCCTTTTAATTTCTAGACTGCTACAAGAAGAGGGTAAATGTCCGATGTGTGGGGAAAATGTCGACTACAGGCGACTTGTGAAGATAGACGATGTGTCTTTGTATCTCGATACAAAAGAACAATCTTAAAACTCCTCTGCCACTGACATATGTCTCTATTTTGTCAGTAATAATGAGAGAGAGGGAAATATCAATTCCTAATTTGCAATAGTTAAACCTGTAAAGGTTATAATACCGTCCATTAGTTAAGAATGTTGCAGTGTAACTGTTCAAGTAGAAGAATTGAAATTAGCTATAATTTATACGAATAAATAAAAATAGTTCTTATTGATGACATTGTTTTATTTTCATGTAGCTATAACAAAGTAGCCTGTGTGTTCTGCCAGAGTATGCTCTAAATCTATGCTAAAATCATCGAGATCTATTAAGCTGTCTTGACGACAAATAAAAAAAACATCCAGCAATCTAAAATCTCACATTTGTAATATTAGTTAGATGTCATTGCTATTTCGATGATCAGGCGCTTTAAAATCAGAATGGAGGGGATCTTGGAGAAAAAAAAAACACATTGAGTTTTATTTTTTATTACATTAATCTAACATTAAATATAGTTGTAATCTACGAATGTTAAAACACATCAACTACTGTTTTTGTATTTTTTGTCATTTTATTATAAAACTACATATTTAGAGTATAATTATAAATATTAGAAGTAGGTATATCATGTATACATCGAATGCTATAAATTAGATACATATTTGAGAAAAATAGTTTTATTCTTCTTCTTTCATTCTCCCGCGTAGAAAACCTTTGACTAGATTTTACTCAGATTTTAGATAATTTCAGACATTTCTGACGTCTGTTCCTTACTCCATTAGGCCATAAAATCTTGACCACAGCCGCTTACATCCTTTCTTCTGGTGAATTTTTAATCTACTGAAGTGAACATCGATAATACGTCGAGAGAAATGGACATTTTACATTTATAAGTATTACCCTCATAGTTAAAGGGCGACATCAAACAGCAAAGGACACAAGAAGTGGGTACGCGAGATACATTTATGTGAATACACATCTAAGGGTATTTGATATCCATATAATAATGTGAGGTTTCATATCCATCCAATTATATCCAGAGTGTTAACTGTCAAAGAACCGCCCATTCAAGTTGATGTCTTTACAGACTTCCCCCTGCAATAAGAAAAACATTGTTTTAATAATTTAATGCCTTGTAAAAAAATAATTTACTATTTCATATTCTTTTGTCAGCGCCTGCACATACTATCTGAGCAATTCGCTTAAAAAATCTGTAACTTTTACTTTTTGACCGACTTCCCAAAAGAAGGAGGTACTCAATTCGTCTGTATGTTTTTTAGTGTGATTTAATTTATGATTAAATATTTATGAAAACATACAAGTTAGTGTACTTCGTCCAAATATACACAAGTATGATTTGCAAGTAAGTTAAAAAAAAATCTCATTATAGTTAGGTGGTGGATAGAATGCGTGTACGGACTGTTGCGGCGCAGCTTGCGCACGAGGCCGGGCGTGGGCAGCGGCAGGCAGATGGGGCACCGCTCGTTCTCGCAGTTCTTCCAGTGCCCGATGATCTGACGCGACGACACGCAGTACATCTTCTTGCAGCTGGTGCGGTTCTAAAATAATAAGCTGGTGTATAAAGCTGCCTTTCGCATTATGCTTAGGGTGTTAATAAAATAATATAATAAAATATTACAAATTATTTTTTAATTTAATTCCAATTAATCGACGTATTTTTGGACAACAGAGCAGGTAGGGGGAAGTGTTTCACACTTAGCTACAATGAGTAACAGGGTGAGAAGCTTATATCACAAATACAAATATCATGTAATCAAATAATAATAACATCGGACCTGGCAGACCGTCAGATGTTTGAGGATGTACTTGATCTCCTGGCAGCTGGGCACGTTGCAGTACCAGATGGAGTGGCGCAGGCGCGTCTCGTCGGCGCGGCACTCGTGCGCGTGCAGCAGCGTGGCCAGCTGCGCGCGGATCAGCCGCTGCCGCTCCTCCTCCTCCGCGCGCGTGCGCACCATCGCGTTCTGCACCAATACATATCGTTCCACTCGAGTGCTTCGAGGTGTAGAACACCAGATTTTTACAGAACATTTTCTTATAAATGAAGGATGGGAAGGGAACGTGGATTTGACGGTGGGGGGGACGCATAGAAAGGGGAAATATCCTCTTTATGTGCGTCTCCTCCTTCGTCGATTAAGGGTAGGCAACGCATCCGATATTGCGTAATTGGATTGAGGTGGCCGATTGCTCGTTTGCCATCTAAAGATATAAAAAAA